CCCCAAAACCCCAAAACCCCAAAACCCCTAAATGATATAAATTTGTTGAATGATATTTTTGTATAATGGAAGAGTCTGAATAGAAAGTCCTTTTTATTAAAGGTATGTAGCTTGCTCTCAAAAAGCTTTGAAGTTTTGTTTTATAAATGATCCTATGTGATCTTCAAATAACTTTTGGGATGCTTTATAAGCTTCTCATAGGCGACTTAATGTATGATGAAGAGGACGATCTACAGTCTGATCCTTTGAGTTTGGGAAAGAAGCAGTTTTACTTAGCATCAAGAGTAAATTCAATATTTAATAAGACAATTTCTGAATTTATTATTACCATTTTGATTATCAAAACTATTCCTGTTAAAATTTGTACTTTTCCTTTTAAGTTCAAACCTAATCATTCTAATCAATAAAACTTACCTATCAACAAAAATATTTCATTTCACATAAAGAGAATAATATTCTTGATAATTATTACCTTAGAGAGAAGCCTGAAGACAAAGGGATATTCAGAATGATCTATAAACCTTTGAGAAGAGTACAAACTTATTAGAGCATCTAAAAGACAATATTAAAAATCTTAGTAATAAAATACTTTCTTAAGGAAGTATCTGTCTTAAAAGTTCTAGATCATTCGAATATTATTAAGCTTTAAGAAGTATATAAGGATAAGGCTAATGGATGAGTATATTTTGTAGAAGGGTTTAACAGGGAAGTGCCCTCTTTGATTAAATCTGAGAAAATGAAGGTTTCAAAGAAAATGACGATAAGAGAGTGTTTTACTCTATAATTTCAATTCTTATTTATTAACATAAGAACTATATCAGTCATAGATATCTTAAATCTGATAATTTCATGTTTTCTTCAATGGAGCTAGATGCTACTGTAAAGCAAATAGACTTTGGTCTGTCAAGTAAGAATTTTAATTTAATGAAAAGGAGGTGAAGTTATTCGAATGGAGACCAAAGCGGGACCAAAGCTCTACATGGCTCCTGAGATCCTAAACCATGCTTACTCAAGTTCATGAGATACTTAGTGTTGAGGAGCCATTCTATACCTTCTGGTATCCTTCAAAATCCCATTTGAACCAACTAAAGAATAGAGAATGAGATTATAAATCTGAATTATAACTTCGATGATCATGCTTGGGGCACATTTCTAAAAAATATAAGGATTTGATTTCTAAACTACTCATATCAGAAAAGGATGGAATTACTGCTAAGCAAGCTCTGAAACATCTTGGATGAAGAATCTTCATATTATAGGCAAAGTTATTAAAGATAAAACTATTAATATGGAACAATTTGATGACTTTAAGGAATCCAGAATGCTCTAGAGAACAGTCCTATCTTTCTTAACATCATTGGAAAGCGATGATGATATCAATGAGAAGATCGATCTGTTTATGAGGCTTGGTCCAAACAACAATAGCTACATTATCAAGAAGGAGCTAAACAAAGGCCAAAGAAAACTTAACCACAGAACAGATGAAGAAAATGATAAAATAATGGAAAATGGATACTGACAAATAGTGGAGTTATGAATTTTAATGAGTTTGTCTCTGCTTTATTGAATGAAGGAATAATTAAAGATTTTAAAAGGATTAATGATGCCTTTATCTTTTTATCTTGATGGAGATAGCTAAATTGATGAAGAGGAGCTCAAGTCTTCCATGGCTAAGAAAGATTTCCCTAATCTTTGAAGCAATGTCTTAATAGATGTAGTCAAGAAATGTGATCTTGATGGAGACTGAAGAATTTTCTACAAGGAGTTTCTTATCTCAATGAGCATGGAATTTGAAAAATTAACAAAAATATATCATATTTTTGTGTTTCATTTTATTTTTATAAAAATGGGGTTTTGGGGTTTTGGGGTTTTGGGGTTTTGGGG